GGAGGGGGCGGCGGGGGCGGCGTGTGCAGCCGAGCCGTGCGACTGCACAATGCCAGTCAGGGGCGTAATTCAATGTGTACGTCCGCTACGCTACGCCACGCCCGGCTGCCGCGAGCGGCGCACGGCCGGATGTGTACTTTGGCGAAACAACTACTACTACTGTTGTTTCGCGATACCTCGCGAGCGGGAAGGGGCGAGAAGGGCCACCGACGCCGCGGCGTCGTGTGCGATTGAAAAGGTGAGTGGAATGGGTAGGAGGGAGGGGGGGGGGAGGTGAAACGATCAAGCAGAGAAGGAGAGAGTACAGAGTAAAGAAAGAAGGGGAGCAGGGGAAACGAAGGGGAAGGGAAAGGGGGGATGGGGTCCCATAAGCGGCTCTGCGCGCCGTCAATCACTGCAAGCAGATGCTGCGCGGCGACTAGAGAGGTCGCAGAATGGCGCCGGGCCCAGCTTCTGTTTCAGTTCGACATTTCTCTTGCTTCCCTGTCCCCCCCCCCCTCCCGCCTTTTTCCCTTCCTCTCCCTGTCTCACTCGCACGGGTCGCCAAAGCGAGAGATGGGTATCGCGCCAGTGAAGCGATTACTTTGGGCCCCATCATCTCAGAGGTCATTATTTACCACCAAACTCTCCCCCCTACTCCCCGACCCCGTCTCGCTTTAACTCCATTCACTCACAGTCCAGTCAATTAGTCAATCATTAATCGACTCCGTTACACAGCGGTGATTGAATACACTGTAAAATTGCAATTTTCCGGAAAAGGTATTTTTGTGAACGGTGTTAGTTTTGAAAATCTAGAGAGAATTATCTGAGTGACTGGACTGACTTTCATTAGTATTTTAAAACAAAATGTAATGGCTCTTCTGGTCTGAAACTGAGTTAGTAATTTTACAGGTACGATTCAAAGTGTCAAAAACTACTCCGTGATGCAAATTTTCTCGACTCGATGTTAGCGCTCTAAGTGTTCGGACCCTCCACTCCCCATCTGGAAGCCTGCCCAGTACATTAAACCCCGCAGCCCGATGATATACTCACCAGACAGCTTTTGCTCTTCTCCTTGGGACACTCTTTGAGGTGCAGCTCCACCGTGTGGTTGATGCAGGGCGTGATGGAGCCCACGCCGTCCGTGTAGAAGCCGCACTGGAAGCACTTGAGTCCGCTCGCCGTCGGCACCACTGCAACAACAGCTTCCTTAATTAAAATCTCGAGGGCGACGGCAGGGCGCAAGGGCAGCAGCAGCAGCCGCAGCAGCCGCACAGCGGGCCGTCCGCGGACAACTTTTTCAGAGGTCAGCTCGCGTTCGTCGGGGAAGGCTGTGACCCGTTTGGAGGCCGAAAAAAAAACAACTTTTACGGCAGCAGCAGCCTGTTTCCCGCTGGAACATGTAAATTTCCGCCCTTCTTTCATTACGGTTATACGCGAGGGGGAAATCACTTGCGTACTAACTCGTATACCAAGGCCTGTACTAAACGCGTACTAACAGCGTAATAACGCGTACTAATGGCAGAAATAAAGCGTAATAGTGCTGTAAGAACAAAATTTTGTAAAAATTGTGAAAAATGACGCTAAAAAAGGGTGTACTAACGTGTACACTTTTATCTGGAGTGATTTCCCCCTCGGTTCGGTTATACGCTCCGTGCGGCAAGACGGCAAACCGCGGCAAACCTTTAGATTACTGCCCTATTCGCTTCAGTGGCGGCGAACGACTCCCTGTCCTGTGGGCATCCTTCACACATCCAGTGAGAGTGGGTGCACTTCCTCATTTTGCAGAGTGCTCTCGCTGCCGCCGGGTGGCGAGGGACGAATGAGCGGCGTTTAGCTGTGTTGCCACTCGTTCTACCCCCCTATCCTTCTCTCTCTCTCCCTCCCTCTCCCTCTCCCCCCCTCTCTCTCTCTCTCTCTCTCTCTCTCTCTCTCTCTCTCTCAGACCAGCAGCAGGCCAGGCACAAGGCATCCGGTGCCGGGAAATAAACGCCGGAGCACTTTTCCGGACGGTTTCTCGCGACGCAGGGAAGGAGGAGGAAGAGGGAATTTGGGGGAGGGGGGGGGGGGAGTTCGTGTTGTACAGCTTCGGGCCCAGCAAGGGCTCTGCCACTTCCGCTGCGGTTGTTTGAAAACGATAATTCAGTGTCCACAACGTGGTGGGATGTTTCGCGCCCGGCCCGGTCCCGGTCCAGCCGGTCCTGGCCGCCTATAAAACATCAGCCCGTACCACTCCCGTACAAGAGGAAATCGATCTAGAGTGTCTCGAGCCGAGATATTGTAAAGACAAAATGCAGACGCCGTTGAGTCTTTTTCGAGACTTTCTGGAGACGGTTTCAGAGACGGCGTCGAGACTTTAACTAGTCAGTGTAGAGATACTTTGGAGACATCGCAAATGTCTCAAGAACGACTGTTTTCTGTCTCGGGATTGAGACATTATGGA